ATAGGTATAACGTTTTCCTGATCATTTTATTTGTGCACATTAATTACTTTTAATTAATTTCAAATTTCAATGAAAGATTCATGTTTAATTACTTAATTTGCTTTAATCAACCCATTTTTTTCTGATACAAGATGTATCCCTTCCTGGTTGTATTATAACATATCATTTGTTAAATGTTATTTCATTTTAAATATCCCCATTTTCCCCCACGCGTGCCCCCAACACATATCACAAATTGATAACCAGAGATGAACAGCACATAACATTAGATACAATTTAACGTGGGAACATGAAACGTTGCATTTGCACCCTGTTGAACAAGTTATAACTTGTAGATATCAGTGCTTATTGACAAACGCTAGATCGTCACTTAGCTTCACATTGAGTTTTACGTCTTGTTTTCGTCAAGTCATTGTAAATAATCAGGGGCTCAAACGTTTTAAATGATATTCAAATTGTTTAAAATAAAACTGCGATGCACAAAGAACGTTAAGGCCTCAAACGATATATTTTTTACCAAACTTGTTCAAATTGATAGGTAAGTTGAATTCAGTTCAGTGCTTATCAGACTCCCATAGAAATACAATTCCGGATGTAAATTTGCCAGTGACGACATTTCAAAAGCATATTTTTATCTTATAAAAAAATAATAAAAAAAAATTATAAAAAATAAATACCAACAAGCACACTTTCTGAACGCACGACGTAAAACTATCAATGCAACTAATGTCATTTCAGTTGCCTCTTCTGCCCGGACGGATTTTACATGCGTACACCACTGAACTTTTGCTTTACAAAACACCGCTTTTTATAAAGTCTTGTGTAGTTAGTACATGTCACCGTGACTACCCCTCCCCTAACGTCAATCAAGGTGCGTCACATCCGTCATTGAATAAACCTACATCAATGCTCTGAAGTTTCTACAAGCGCTTCAAGGTTCAGTTATTGACAAAATTAGATACTGTACAAGACAAATCCAGAATAGTATTATATTAATGATACTAGCCGAGTTGTTAATACAACGTGCAATTTAATTTCAATTTAATTTTTTCCAGAAAACACTAGACAACTCTCATTGCGCCGCAATGTCACTACACTACTAATTTGTGCTTCGATAATAAATAACTTGTAATAACAACTTCTTGCATCGTTAGAAATATCAATGTTTCCATTGATTTACTTAAATTAACTGTCAAAACTAGGCTAAGTCAAAGAAGCGATAGACAGAGAATAAAGTTGGGCAGTCAGGGACTGCTGACGATAATTTATTTCATAAACCGGCGCTTTGTTGGCGCATGCGCAGAAGCTACCTGATATGGATATGGATATGCAGATAAAATAATAGAAATAATTAAACGTTCACACTGTGAAGATTTCTAAAGATTAGTAAAAGTTTAAACTATATTTCCTATTGAACTGGTTGAAATTGTTAGAACCATGTTTTAGAGCTCTCGATTTACTTTTTTCAATCTTTACTTGGTGACAGCCCATGTACGTTTACACTGACTTGACTAGATGAGGGTTAAAAGCTAAGTGCGTATTTAAATGTTTTTGTTCACTAATTAATTTTATTATTAAGGCAACTTTTAGCCAGTTTTAGATTAATGCAGTTGGTCAATATAAATATGTATTCTGTTCAGCACAATTGGTAATAAAACAGAGACACAGGCCAACTTATAGCACTATATACAGATGTTAAAACTACATCCAAAAAACATGAAGACAAAGACAAAAGACAAATTGTGAAATAATATAACCAGTTAATTCCCACAGCATATTTTTAAAACAAATGAAATAAAACTGGTTAGTATTGTCACAATATTGTTCCTGGTGTATTAATTGTGCACATTCCCAGTGTAGAGTAAATGACACACCACACTTGGTCACAAAGAAATGCGCTTATAGTTTATGCAATAGAAAATATGCTTATCTACTATCAACATGTTTTTATACACATACTAATACAGATATCTAGCATTTATTTAATTTACATCTTTGGGAAAAAAATGAAGTGTAGTTTGTTTTCTTTCTAAATTGTTACTCATTATTTATTATACCTTGATTCACAAAAGCAAATGCTGTAGTAGTTATGCTATGCTTATATATTTTGCAGGCATACTCACCAACGGATTCGCCTGCCAGTCCAAGTGGTGGATCAGAGCCCAGTTTCGGTGGATTGTCAGATGATTCCATTGGGTCTCCAGTTGCTTCCGGTGGATCTCCAGCCGAATCCGGTGGATCACAACATGATCCGCCGGTTTTACCAATCGATCCGCCGGAATCACCAGGTGATTCACCAGGCGATCCACCGGAATCACCAGGCGATCCACCGGAATCACCCGGCGAACCACCGGAAATGGATAGAGATCATAGAGCAGCAGGTAATAAACGGTTTACATCATAATATCTAGTGTTAAATAAACCATTATTTTGAAAATTCTGTTCATACATTGCCACTATTTGCTCATCTTTCCATTTGAGAAGTATATTAATTTTTTTAAAAATTAATTTCATTGTAAATTTGTTCTATACAAAGGCAAATATGGTTACAACCTGTCATTTGCCTAAAATTGTTATATTTACACATTTGCTATTGTATTGAGTTGCAATTGTATAATGAAGCAACAAGCAGCATTACATGGGTCAAACTAAGGATCATATTGCAGGTGCACTTGAAGCAACTTTTGTATCGTCTTATTTTATATTTGTGTTTTTGAGAGGTGAGGTGTATAACAGGAAGTCTCTTGCATAGTTTTACACCACAAGTTTGTTTCGTGTTAGGTTTCAAACTTTTATTATTGGTTTGCAACAAATCTTCATATTTTTGCGCAATCGAGTATCAAAATACATTACTACTGGTAATTTTGTTTTTCAATTTAGATGCTCCCAGATGTCCAACTCCTGGCTGTGATGGCACAGGTAAGAATATGTAATTCACAAATCTATATGCTTAAAAAATGAGCACCATTTTAGGTACATCTGTTCATTTATGTTGGACGTCTTGAGACTTTGTTTTAACGAATGTTTTCCCAGGGCCATATCAATATTAATTGGCCGATCACATTAAAACACATACAAATCCAGGATGGTAGAATCGCAACTATTTTAATGATAAAAATCGAATTTCTGTCATTTTGAAATCAGATTAAGCTTTACATAAATTAATTTTATCCAAATTATGTAAACTGACTAAATACACTTGTTTTCATCATGTCTGTCCATAATATATAGTAATGACATTGATGTCTTCTATAGGAATAGTAACACCACTTGGTGAAAAATACTAACCGGACTATCAATGACTTGTTCAGTTATTGTTTCGTTCAATACAAAGAATATGTGTAAGTTTGTTTAGAAAACCCAATCGATACCATACGAAGCCGAAGTCAAGAACGTCAGTAAACAAATTAACAGTGTGGTAATACTAACAGCATCCGACAATTTTTGAATAATGGCAATTGTGAAAAATGCAATATGATCTGTTGCTGATTTCGCTGCATAATTGTTTTTTTTTAAACAAAACAAGTATTAACAGTTTTAATATCCTCCATGACTGAAATTAATTGTACTTACTCATAGTACATTTCTTTTAGTCATGAAACGTATTTTGCACTATGTTGATTTCCCACACAAAAATAATTGTCCTTGTATGTTAATGTTGTAATCACTGATTATCAGATTTCGAATACAAACTAGTCAAGATTTCAACGCAACTCCAAAGTTTACGTTTAATGGAAGGTAACCACAGGCATGCCTAAATATACACACTCGCAAATCTAGAAACATTAATACATAAGGACATACCAACTTTAAACAGGAATAATTGTACAAGTACGTGTTTGCTTATACAAAGGGTATACTGGAGATGAATATATTAACTGTGTAACCATTTGAACTTGCAACACAAAACTCCAGTTGGTGGGGAAACTGTTTTACACTTGATGTATTTTTAATAGGTCACAGAACTGGAAAATTCAGATCACACCACACGATCAGCGGTTGCCCGCGGGCTCCCCTGCCACCAAGAAGAAGGCCACCTGCTGCGGGTGGTCATCAGCGGCGGCCTGTCCAAGCAGAAGAAAATGCAAGTTCTATATATTTTATTTTAGGGATAACAATTCTTCGCAAGTTAAAATTTCAACTGGTTTATTAGTTTATTTCAAAGTAATATCCCTAGGAGGGTACAATTTCGGTAAATTTTTGATAAATGTCAGTTTCACAAATGTGATTACACCTTGTGTCGCAAGTGCATGAATTGCCATGTGATTCAATTCTGATATATGGCATTCAGAGGCATTTGTTAAACTTAAAAAAAGGTTTTCTTTTGATTGAATGGTGGCCATTTTGATTCAAAAACTTTTTTTTTCTGCATGAATGATCGAAAAAGTAACAAAGATATAAGCAAAAATGTTTTGCGCTTTTTCTGTTATTTCATAATTTTTTATAATCTAACCAACTGGTGTTTTCATCAAAACAATTTATTAGCCATTTTGTCAGGCTTTACTTAGGCCGATTTAATCAAACTTTGCGAGATAAACACATTCAGACTCCTATGTGTCCTGGTAGTCCTTGTGATTATTTTGTTGATGTACATAATCTTCCAGTTCAAAAATCAACAATTGAATCAACACAAAGTACGTAATCATATTTCTTTAAAACTGTTTCTCACTTTTCTGAAATCGTA